TGCCGGAGGATATATTCGCATCCCTCAATGGAGGTACGGTGTTTTCGCAGATAGATCTGTCGGACGCCTACCTGCAAATCGAGCTGTCAGAAGAAGCGAAGAAAATGGTTGTAATAAATACGCATAGAGGGCTCTACCAGTACAACAGACTGCCTTTTGGAATCAAGACAGCACCAGGGATCTTCCAGCAAATCATGAACAAAATGGTGAATGGTCTGCGAGGAGTAGCAACCTACCTGGACGACATCTTGGTCTGTGGACGAACAGAAGAAGAACACATGGAGAATCTCTTAGCTGTGTTTGCAAGAATCGACGAATATGGATTCAAAATTCGTCTAGAGAAGTGTTCTTTCGGTAAGCCAGAGATACGATATCTTGGCTTCATAGTGGATCGAAATGGCAGAAGACCGAACTTAGCGAAGATCGAAGCGATCAAGAGTATGGATGAGCCGAAGAATGGTAGTCAACTGAGGGCTTTTCTTGGCATGGTAACGTACTATGCGGCGTTCATGCCAAAGATCAAGGACCTTCGTGGACCATTAGATGCAATGCTGAAGAAAGATGCGAAGTGGCAATGGACACGAACACATCAAGAAGCATTCGAAAAGCTCAAGGATACATTGTCAAGTGAGCTCAATCTTGCTCACTATGATCCAAGACAGAAGATCGTCGTGGCAGCGGACGCCAGCGATTATGGAATTGGTGCGTGATATCGCACAGATATGCCGATGGATCCGAAAAGCCAATTGCACATGCATCACGGTCTCTTACGAAAGCGGAGAAGAACTATTCGCAGATCGAAAAGGAAGCGTTAGGAATTGTCATTGCTGTCAAGAAATTCCACAAGTACATATTCGGACGAAAGTTTCTGCTACTGACGGATCATCAACCACTGTTAGCCATCTTCGGTGATAAAAAGGGAGTTCCAGTCTACTCCGCTAACCGACTCATGAGATGGGCTACAATCTTGCTAGGATATGACTTCGATATAGAGTATGTTAAGACTACGAAGTTCGGGCAAGCAGATGGTTTGTCACGGTTGATGAAGAAGAATCAGAATCCCGAAGAAGACGTCGTAATAGCTGCCGTTGAAAACGACGTAAACTATATGTTGAAGAACTGTATAAGGAAATTGCCAGTGACGGCATCAGATGTACAAACTTGGACGAAAAAGGATCCAGTACTTAGAAGAGTACTCACTTACGTGCAGAAAGGAAGTTGGCCGGAAGTAAATGGAGAATTGGCACATTTCCGAAATCGAAGAGAGACATTGTCAATCGTGGAGCAATGTCGATGTCAGCCGAAAGGGTTGTGATACCCAAGGAGCTTCGAAGAAATGTGTTGAAGGAACTACATATTGGTCATCCAGGGATTGTAAGGATGAAGAAACTGGCTCGAAGTTACGTCTACTGGCCGAATATCGACAAGGATTGCGAAGACTTGGTACGAAGATGCACGAAATGTCAGGAGTTAGCCAAAAATCCGACGAAGGTACCATTAGAAGCGTGGCCGTCCGCGACTCGAGTGTGGCAGAGAATACACATCGACTTCGCTGGACCCATGCAAGGAGTTTTCTACTTGGTCGTGGTAGATGCCTACAGCAAATGGCCTGAAATGATCGAGATGAGCAATATCTCAGCTGCGAAGACGGTGAAGGCTTTAAAGAATTTGTTTGCGAGATATGGATTACCGCAAACAATAGTGAGCGACAATGGTACCCAGTTCACATCGGATTTGTTCAAGAAGATGTGTGACGAAGGTGGAATCACCCACATAAGGACTGCTCCGTATCACCCTCAATCGAATGGACAAGCAGAGCGTTTCGTTGATACGCTGAAACGCGGAATCAAGAAACTAGAGGGGGAGGAGAGGCCAACAGAAGAGACTCTTAATGTGGTGTTACAAGCATACAGAACAACACCAAACACGAACTTGAACGACAAGACGCCAGCAGAGTTGTTTCTAGGCAGAAACTTGCGCACAAAATTAAGTCTGTTGCTCCCAATGACAGAAGATGCAGAAGACCCACTCGCACGAAGGAGACGGGAGCGCATGAAACATCAGTTCGACCAGAAGCATGGAGTCGTTCGAAAGGAATTTAAAGCCGGTGACTTAGTGTACGTTAAGCAGTGGAAGCCACCCCACTTCCACTGGATGAAAGGAACCGTGATGAGACGTATTGGACGCGTAAATTATGAAGTTATGGTTGGTGATGAGATATGCAAGAAGCATGCAAATCAGCTACGGCATCGAAGCGATAGTGACCAGGTTGCCGTACGACAACAACTTCAACAACAATCCGAAGCCTTGAAGATACTGTTAGATGTTTTGACAGAAGACGACACACTACCTAGAAATGGCAATGCTGCAGCCGACGAGAATTTCGAGCAAGCGATCGCGAGCGATGTGCCAGCACCCGTGGATTCAACGACATCGACGTCGACATCAAGCCACGAGCCCTCCATGCCACCGACAACGCTTCGCAGGTCGAGCAGAACGAGAAGACCGGTACAACGGTTCCAACCTAGTCCATAGTATGTTATTGTATGTTTCATTAGTTTTGTAGTTGTTTGAATTTCTATGTATGTAGTTCAAGCTTTTATCGTAGGCTAGTTTTGTGTAACTACCCTACTGGGGGAGGTGTTGTGTTAATGTCTGATCAGTTGTTTTCTCCTATGATCTGCCCTCGCTGAGGCGCCTGCGACCTCAATGCGCGGGAAATGAGGGCTATAAAAGGCGCTCGCTGTTAGCTGTTGTCGGTTCGACTGTTCACTCATCGCCTCTTTTATTTACTGTTCTATACTATCTTCTAATAAATATTCTTGTTCTCTCGTGTGCTGCCCCAGGACGAAGAGTCGAAGTGTCCGAAGTGGAGGACACAACAGGGTTGTTTACGTCTGTTTGTCTGTGTGTCTGTGTGTACGTCTGTCTGTCACGAAATTCATACAGCGAGTTCCAGCAAATGTCTTGAGCTGAATTTGGTCATAGCACCTTGCCAGCATCTAGGCCCATCATGCAAAATTTCGTACGGATCCGTTGCGTTGATGTTACAAAAATTGTGCGTCAAGCGGATCCACACGGCTCTAAGCAGGCAAAACTGAGTCCAGATTTGAATTTTTCGCAAAGCCATGATTTGTCTGACAAGTAAATCTGCGCCTCATGAATTCTAACCCAAAAAGTGCTCAAAAAGTTTGCTTTTCTGCGAAAACAGCGCCAAAAAGTCATGATCGCGTAGATAGTCGATTTGGCAAGGTTTTAACTTCAAATTTGAAAAGATTTTTGCACGGAAATGTAGCCCAAAGTGACTACTATCCTTATGACGACTACCAAGCCAAAATAAATTCGGTAATTCATTCGAATTCGCAGGTGTTCCTTTGCGAAAAAGATTTCTTTCTCAAAATTACCGATATTACATGGAGATGCTTTGAGAATGAGCAGTTGTTTACAATTCATTCATGATGTTCAGCATCGCGCGGTAAGTTTCAAAGTCATCATTATGCGAACATGAGAAAGGCATATGGATAGGAGTGCCAGTGCGAACCTCCGCGAAGCGGAGGTGATGCACTGGTGACTTATAATAAGCGGCTAAGGATGTTTACGTCTTTTTGTCTGTGTGCGTGTCTGTCTGTCTGTCCGTTACAGAATTCGTAGAGCGTGTTCCAGCCAACGCCCTGAGCCCAAATTTTGCATAGCGCGCGCTACCAGCACGAAAGCTCACTATACAAAAGCATGAGCGGATCCGTTGAGTGGATCCGTTGAAAATTGCGCGTCAAACGGATCCACTTGGCTTCTGGCCAGCAAATTTAGCTCCGTAGTACTACTTTTTGCAGAGTTATGGATATATCCGACAAGTTAATGTGCAAGCCATGGACGTTAGCTTAAAAAAGTGATGAAAAGTCTACTAATTTACGAAAACGGTTCCAAAAGCATTGGCTGTGTAAACGGTCAAATTTTCAAGATTTTACCTGATCATTTGAGAAGATTTTTGCACAGAGATGTAGCACACGATGTTTGTTGTTCCTATGGCGACTAAGAAGCCATAAAAATTCCAGAAACCTATTCAAACTTGCATCTGTTCTTCTGGGAAAGATTTCATCCACGCGAAAATACCGATCTCACACGAAAAACTTCTAGAAATGCGTAGTTGTTTACGAATCATTCGTAATAGCCTACACAGCGCGGTGAGTTTCAATGTGATTATTATGCGGGAATGAGTAAGGCATAGATAAAGTAGACCCAGTGCGAGCCTCTGCGAAGCAGAGGTGACGCACTGGTTATATATATATAGATAACCGTATTTATTATCCGACCACGAATTCGCATAGTTAACAGTGTGTCATTGTAGCTTATCCATGGTCCTCCGCCCCTCGAGAATGGGTTACGAAATTTTTGAAATTATTTGCTCAGTGACTTGCATTTGTGAATGATTAGAACAGCATTCGAACTTTTTGAGAATGCGAATCAGCTTTGTAAATTTTTTGAGCCGTGGTCACCACCTTTCTCTTCTTAAAAAGTCGGATTATTGGTCAAAAATCTCGAAAAACAGTCAAAATTATTCCATAGGGCGTCACTATCGCTATGCCCCTTCTCTATAAAAAAACGCTTTCCGTTGCGCTCCCGTTCTCCGAAGTTCCTTGGTCTCCCACTGCTAGTGCTATCTATGAGCTAGCACTACACGAGTAGTTGGCAACGATATATGATCTATCTATCCGTTTATCTACTTTGGTTCTTTTCCTCTTTCACGTCATTGCCTTGACTTGTGTTAAGCTTTCTTTTAACATTTGAGAGCACGCCAATGTGCGTAATAAACAATTTAATAGGTGTGACCAAATTTGTTGTAACGATAATGCTTCTGGTTTTGGCACAGTATCTACAAATGGCGTGATGCCGGAACACAGCACTGCCAGGAATAGGCTGAGAATGACATTACACAAATAATGCTTTCTATCACTGTAATTATGGAAAACCATACACTACACATCTTTATTAATGACTTCACTTCAGTAAATTAGCGCTCGAAATTGCACATTCATAGCCGATCAAAGTAACAAAGTTGTCGCAACAATTTTCAAATCCTCCACGTTGCTGAATTCAAAGTAGTCAGCAGGGTAAAGTACAATATCGGAAGAATGGCCCTTCACAAAGGCTTGGCTCCTTGGCTATACATTCACGAGATTCGAAGCCGATCATCTCTCCTCCATTACACGGTTGACCAGAAGCGAAGTGCTAGAAAAAAAGTAGTTTCAAACTGTGTCTAGGAGAACTGGAACAGCAACCTAAAGTGGTAAATGGTGCAAAGATTAGACCTCGGTTTCAGAGCCCAGAGGGCGTGTAGTAAGTGATACTCAGACAGCCGACTGCTGCCGCGCCAGCCGCCAGAGCTGGCGTCAGCTCCGCCGCATATGGTAAAATAATTACGCTAGCCGTCTGAAATCTTCTGCCGAGAGATTTCTCGCATCCCGTCGCCCTGGATGCGATATCAGCCTCAGGGGCAGCGCTATCTTATATATAAAGCTGAATGTCTGTTTGTATGTATGTATGTATGTATGTATGTATGTATGTCTGTCTGTCTGTCTGTCTGTCTGTATGTGTGTACGTATGTTCCGAATAGAAAATTCCATTTCTGAACCGATCGGGACCAAACTTGGCACACATACACTTCGGGCCCCGGCGGGTGTCATAGGCTACTATTCGTATCGATCGATATCGATTTTATCGATTTTTTGCAAAATTTGAGCTACGGGGCTGGGAGTTGGCACAGGGGGGTAAGTGAGCATGGGGATTCCGAAGTGGACTGTGACACCCGCCGGGGTCCGAAGGGTATGTGTGCCAAGTTTGGTCCGGATCGGTTAAGAAATGGAATTTTCTATTCGGAACATACGGCGGAGCCGGGTAAGCCAGCTAGTTATCAATATTTTTATCGTTTTGAACAGCAAAAATTTTAATAATCACCGATAAAATGCAAATGAACAAGTTTGCACAATAGAATTTATCTAAAGGAAAACGTTTATGAAATTTAATGTCTTGAAACAACCAGAAGTTGAAATGATTCAAGATGCAAAAAAGTGTTTAGTTGTCAAAAAAATTTTCTGGGAATCAAAATCGGAGAAGAACCTACGAGACATGCCGAAAAAAGTCTGTTAAAATTAACATTTTCAAGACTTAGTGATATTAAATAAACTGAATATTTGGTCGCATTTTTACAATATATACTTTCGCAATGTTTTGTAGTAGACAGCTTGAGCTTTCTAACAACGTTTCCAACTTTCATCGATGCCCATTCCTATCTGATCTATACACCAAAAAGGAATCATTGCAAAAAAATATATTGTAAAAAATCGACCGAATGCGAAAAAAATGACTCTGAAAATGAAATTTCCGAAACTGCCCGGGAACTTCCTTTACGACCTAATAAGTTCTTGATGATCTACGCTGTTCGCTTTTATATCAGCAAAGGTGACATATTTCCACCTTTCATCTTTAATCTACTCAATTTTTGACCTACTTCGTCTCTTATTCAGCTCCCTTGACAACACGAAGTCTTGAAGTGCTAATTTTAACAGATTTTTTTCGTCATTATGTCGCGTATGTTCTCCTCCGATTTGGCGTCCCAGAAAAAAATTGATGACTAAACAATAATTTGCATCTTGAATTATCTCAACCTCTGGTTATTTTAAGGAATTGAATTGCATAGCCGTTCTCCTTTGAGAAAACTCTACTCTATGTAAATTTGTCCATTTGCTTTTTATCAGTGAATTTAGGATTATTGCTGTTCAAAATGATATAAATATTGATGATATTGTGCTGTGCCTGAGATATCGCACCTCAGCGCGACGAGGTGCGAGGAAACCTCTTGACAGGAGATTTCAGAGGGCTAGCGTAATTAATTTACCATATGCGGAGGGCGCTGACGCCAGCTCTGGCGGCTGGCTGAGGCAGCAGTCGGCTGCCTGGATACCACCTGCACGCCTCCCTAGCCTAGATACTTCATGAAAATCGCGGGGCATGTGTCAGTGTTTCTTCCAGCTGATTTTATTCGGAATTTGAGAAGACATCGTTTGCCTATCAACTTTAGGCGCGCGCCATAAACCACATCATCCACTACGTTAGGCCTAAGGCATACCTCACGCGATTCGGCCAAATCGCCACTTTCACGCGACTTGGCGAATTGTCAGATTTCTATAAATTTATCGTGAGCACTTCTCAGACGCATATTTGGGTACCTTGTGTAAGTTGTTGCAAACAGAGTAAGTTTCGACCAAAGGCAGCGCATTAACGGTGAATTACGAAGAGTCGCTATTGTGTCAAATCGCGCAGCGACCGGAATCGTGCAAGGTATACCTTAGGCCTTGAGCGACAATTCAGTGCTGCTGCGTTTATTTCTCCGAAGCAGAAGAAGTTGAGGTGAATAAGTGAAAAGGAACATCTTAGCGAATTCTCGGCTCATGCGTTCATCATTTTCAGCCTTTTCATAGCTTCGATTTCAAATCTTAAGTGCAATTTGCGGAGAAGTCTGGAAAACCACTGCTCCGGAAACCCTTGTGGTACCACGTGAAAACATATATCACACATAGCAGTGAGGCCGAGGGGGGGGGGGGGGCGAAAATGGGTCTTGAAGTTTTTGAATAGTGAAGTAACTCGAATTAGCTTTCTGAAGAAAAAATTTAAGGCATGTCCCCAAGCCTCATTTTCTGGAAAATTCCCAGTTATAAGAACGCAGAGATTGGATTGCATCCCGAAAATCTGCGGAAGGTGTGATCAACGCCGCACCTCTCCAGTCGAAAAAAATCTCTGTGCCCCCCCCTCCCGCCCCGCAGAAAATGATTTCTCAGACCTTTACTGAAAGATGATATATAGGGCTTATCAAACGCAGTGTCGCTTGCATCAGCATCTCCACTCCCGCGCTGGACTCTGCATCTCTTCCGCGAACATGCTCTCTGATCACTTCCAATCGATTGAGGCTTCGCCTTTCCCACGCTCGCCCCGGGAAAATGATCAGAGAGCATGTTCGAAGAGATGCAGAGGGAGTGGAGATGCTGATGCAAGTGACACTGCGTTTGATAAGCCCTGTACAGACAGCTGCCACTGAAAGTGGCGCGCAACCTACTCGCCCGCGCAGATGTGAGGAGCGAGCAGCAAGGAATCTAGACGCTCCAAGACCGTATTTGGGACTTAGTAGTCGCATTTTCCTAGTAGAGTTGATGAGCTTTATTTTAGAGAAGACCTACTGAACTGTACCAACGAGTGATATGAATCGAGTTTGCCCGCAGACTAGTGCCGGGATTTTTTGCGTTACAATGGCAGAGCTATCATTTAACAATAAGCGATCAGTAAGTCCAAGAGTTCGTCTAGAAGGTTTAGATCTCATTTTGAAAGTTTTCAACCTCTCTCTCCCGCTCCCTTTCCATTCTGGAAAGCGCCCATTCACCTATTTTGAGCTTCAGGCTAGATTGCGCATATCACATAAAGCTATGACTTTAGGGCACGATGACCTTGCATCTGCCACATAAATGAGCACGCTCCGCGCTTCCGAATTCTAAAGAAGCGTTGGCAAAAGGCCCGTTTTCAACATTCTTGAGGGGAGCGAGCGTTAGGTACCCAACCGAGATGCACTTCGCACCTGTCAATCAGCGGTATACGCCAGACCACGCTACAAGAAAAACGAGTAAGGTCAGTAGACAGCCTACAACTCACTAGTTACCTACAACTGACAGGAGTTTTGAACCTCTCAACTTCTCTCTATTCGGCAGAACTGTAAGACTTAAAAGAGTGTTTTCGATTATCCGCTTTTTCGCGCATAACAGGTCGACGACCGTGTACACATACGCGCGTATGCACACCCTGGCTTCCGTTTAGCAGTTTCGTACTTACCGCGTATACACGCCACTTTTTTGAGTGTAAACGAAAAGTTCAAAGGTAACTTCTATCTTCTTCCATAAGCCCCACTCAAAAGACGCTAGCTGCACGCAGAACAGTGCCTTATGGGGCAGACACGACGGTGCAACGATGAGGATAAGAAAACGCAGTGGTCCTAGCGCGAACGAGAGATCACGGCACGCAGGGTGCGCTCTGCTGCTGCAATAGCTGTATTGAAATACGCAAGTGCGTCATTGAGGTTAGGTATGAGAGCATAACTTTTATTGATCAGCTCATATCCCATCTATGTATTTACTATGTTCTCGTTCGTTCCACAAGGTTTTCCTATTCATGTCAGCTGAGCTATTTTCTTTGAATTCAATTTTCCATTAGGGACCCGTCATACTTCGCCGAAAAAAGCCCAAAGAAGCCCAAAGAAGCCCAAAAAAGCCCGAAAAAGCCCAAAAAAGCCCGAAAAAACCAAAAAAGCCCAAAAGCGCCAGGAAGAGCCGGAACACTTCTCGCACGTTTTGGCGTTAAGACATGTGTGTTAATTTCGCAATCGAGTCTTTTTGTCATCTTCTGTCGTCTGCACGACAAAATAATGTCGGAATTCTATCAAAAGTTCGTTTCTACGTTTCGGCTCTTTCTGGCGCTTTCCGGCTTTTTCGGGCTTTTTCGGGCTTTTTTTTTAGCTTTTTCGGGCTTTTTTGGGCTTTTTTGGGCTTCTTCGGGCTTTTTTGAGCTTTTTGGGCGCTTTTGGGCTTTTTTCGGCGAAGTATGACGGGTCCCTTATGCAAGCGTAAGTGCAATAAAGACATAGTGGAAGGAAACTGTACAGCGATTCTCAAAGCAGAACACTATTTTAGAACGATGTGATTCATTTTCCGGTCAAAATTTGAGAAAATCTCCGAAAATCTCGTTTTTGGAAGCAGTTGCTCTGCTTGAAATTTTTCTCTCCAAAATGTGAGCGTGGCCAGAATGACAACGTGGAACGAAATTGTACAGTGACTGTAAGAAGAAAATACTTTTAGAACGGCTCTTATATATAACGCTTGATGTGCGTTTGTCTGTGTCTGTCTGTGTGACCCTTTTGATTCAGCGGGATGGGCGGCTGGAAGGCGACCGCTCGCGCCTGGAACGCAAATTGCGTCTCCCTCGCGAGCGCTCTCTGATTATTATCTAGTCCTCAAGGCCCCGCCATCCAGCCGCCAATCCATTTGAAACGGTATGTTCTGAATAGAAAACTCCATTCTGGAATAGAAAACTCCATTTCTGAACCAATACGGACCAAACTTGGTACACGTACACTTCGGTGCGGAACGAGTGTCGTAGGCTACTTTTCGTCACCGAACGATATCGATTTTATCGCTTTTGTCGATGTTTTACAAAGTTAGAGCTACGGGGCTGGGAACTGGCACAGGGGGATAAGTGAGCATGCCGATTACACAATATTGGTTTCTAACATCATTTATTACTTTTCTAGGTTTTATTTTTTTTAGAGTTTGGGCTACGGAGAGGGAGTTGGCACAGGAGGGTAAGTGAGCATGCTGATTACGAATACAATATTGATTTCTAAAATTATTTATTGCTTTCATCGATTTTTTACAAAGTTACAGCTACGGGGCTGGGAGTTGGCACGGGGGGGGAGGTTCAAATTCAAAAGTTTAATGTAGTTCAATAAAATAGGTGGAGGGGGTACCAAGTTTGGCCCACTGTACAATACCGCTCACAGAATGTGCAAAATTTCCGTAAATGTCGCAGAATTCCGAGAATTCCGCGAAGGTTCGCGAAATTCCGGGAATGTCGCGAAAATCCCGCAATTTCGCGAACCTTCGCGGAATTCTCGGAATTCTGCGACATTTACGGAAATTTTGCACATTCTGTGAGCGGTATTGTAGTCGCCGCAAGCTCTTTTAGGAAATAAGCCCCATCACTGCATGCGTTTCTTGGGGCTGTATATTGACTTTCCGCCAGGGACTGCAGCTTAGCACATCTAACAAGGGAAAGATACCGGATTGCAGTGGCGAAAAACGATATGCATATCATTAGATGCGCCTTGATGAGCTTATTCCAAATTGACTTCCATATTTGCTACCTCTTCTCTAAAAGAAGTTATGAGCTTGTGAATGTCCAAATTTGGCAAACATTCAGTGCCACATCTTCAAGAACTGCTTATTCAAAGACATTTATGTGTTTATGTGTGCATTTCTTATAGTCAACGCATTCAGAACTATGTCAACTAATCACTTCCAAGCTGGTTTTCAAAGCCATTACGCAAGAAAACCTCAATAACTTCATACCCTCAACCGCCCATAGCTTCTTCTAGAGAAGCGCTTAGCTTTAAGGAAGGAAGATTTGGAATCGGGTCATCAAAACGAGCTGGACCAAAAGGTAGTTTGCAGTGTCAAAGTTGCAACCTGCTGATGGATATCATCCGAAGAGGTAATGTTTTGAAGAAGAGGGTATCCGGAAGTAGCCCGATGAGGGAGTCGTCCGATTCTGCCTACACAATACATTCATTTTGCTTCATTAAAAAAAGCCTATTGTTGTGAAGCTGGCTCTCCCAAATTTTGTATGAACAATGCACACTTAGTTTATTACGGATTACTGAAAACATGGTATGATTTAACCAGAGTCATTTTCTCCATACCTCACTTTTTGGTCAAAAACAAGCTTAGCTATCCCTATTTTTAGGTGTATAAGTCGCACCCTCTTTGCTCTAAACGCGAGCACACCCAGGCGTGCCGCTGCGCAAGTGCCTCGCGAAGCGGCCGCTTTCTCGCACATTGCTCTCACTTATAGGCAGCTAGCTGCTCGGCAGATTTTCAACTTCGAGGTTTTGGCAGATTTGGGGCTATTTCGGCCCCATGAATCACGACATGAACTCCCCTTAGCTCAAAAATGGGGAAAACCCCGTCTTTTGAAACCCCCCTTGAGACGGGCGGGAGGAGTGAGCCGTTTTTCTCTGCCGTCAGAGACGCAGAGTAAGGAGGTGGAGAGCGCTAGAACAATTCTGCCCTACGAAGCTACGAGTGACGGCGCATTTTCTAGCGGAGAACGTAACCGTCCGAACAAGGTGTTAGGGAGCGAAAGGAGGAAGCGAAGCGGCGGTTGGGTTGCCCTACTGGTATGCGGAGTTCACATTTTCGGCGCGGAGTTGCTGTTTTGGTTCACTTGAAGGGCCTCCTATCCATCTGTGTCAAAATCTGAGGTAGAATTGTAACAGGCAGTCTTTTGGCTTGTGCGCCTTTAGAGCGAACAGGGTGCGGCTTATACACCTGAAAATAGGGTACTCTGGTAATCAGAACAACTTTCTTCAGTTTCTGATAGCATGAAAAGGTGAATGACCTGGAGAAGTAAGGACGCTTAGTAACTGAGCCTGTCGGGATGCTGTTACCCAACAGCTGCTCACGATGGAGGTTGGCCTGCCTTAGATAGCGAACCTCTGGCAGTGACCTCCGCCCGCCGGCAGAAGCCGGTGCCCTCGTTCCCCTTTTACCTTCCCCTTTTGTATATAACTATGTATGATGTCAGAAGCGAGACTTCTGTAAACCCGCTACACATCAGGGAATGGAGTAGATTGACCTTTATCCTGGCTTGTCAGAATAAAGATTAGCTACTCCTTTACCCGATGTGTATTGTATTGCTGGCAGGAAAACAAATGATTTCGCGGATTCAGAGCTATATTTGGAAGGCAAAGGCTACATGAAGCGATCTATAGCACTGAATAGTAAAATAATGTTCTTGTGGCAGTACAACCGTTCTCTGAATTGATGGTGGCAATTGCCACCACCAGATCCGAAAGGGTTAGGATCAGCGAGGTCTAAACAAACAGTAGGAAAGCGCGGTTGGAAAGACTTGATGATGAACAAGACGCGGAATTCGGATTTTTAACACATCAGAATATTGAGCTTCCTTTCAAGCTGAGCTCCCCTCTGCTTCATGCATGCAAACTCGAAGCACCCTTGGTAAAGTCTATGCCGGATTCTCTGAATACCAAACAAGAAAGCAAGAAGTGGAAGCCAGCGTTTCTTATGCAATAATGCGGGTCTGGACGGTATTCACATTAATACTCGAACTTAGGAAGAAAATATGAAGGAAGACTTTGTACAATTAACAGCCTAATACGCCGTCGTACACTAGCCAAGCGGAATACGGATATGTGCGTAGTAGCCTTGTCTTTACTTGCATGTAGAAAGCGCGTCTTGTCGATAATGTACTAGTGGCTGTACCTGGCAAACTCCAAGCCAAGGGCTCCACACAGCTTCCACAGGTTGAATGACAGTAGACTGCCGATCATTAGATTGGTTCGCTGGAAGGAAGAAATTGTCAATGATCTCAGCTCAGAAGAGCTGCAAAAAAGATTAAAATCAAGCCAACACACTTTCGCTATCGTCATACTCCGGAATACGAGGCACTTCGATCACGGATCGTACAGATTCAACAGGCCCGGATTCTAGGACAGTGTACGAACAAAGGAGCTCAAATGAAGACAAAAACACAAAACTTACGAACTGGTTGTGGCAGCACAGCAGGACAATTACGGACCTGCATCAAGGCTCCGAGACAACGGCGAAGATCTAAGCATTTGCGGCGGCGAATCTGTCGTTCACCTCCTTTCATGCACGGGGTCCAGTCAGACCACTCAGAAAAATATGTTGGGTACTCCTATGAAAACATTTTTGTTGGATGTAAAGGATATTCGTCGGCGACTGCCCCGACTCGTGCAATTACACCACCTTGGGCGTGCCTTACTGAGGCCTTTCCAGCTGGACACTACGCTGCATCGTGCGGGGAACTTGGTAGCTCGCAGCAGGGTGCGGGAACTTAGGAACCCGAATCTAATGGGGGACGGAACTTAGGAACCCGAGCCTAATCAGCTCGATTCGGGGAGTGCCCGCAGGTTACAGTCATGCTCGCTGACTCCGATTACTCACTAGGACATAGCAACAAGCTAAGCCCCGCCCCCTTGAGAGCCTGTTTGGAACCTAGCCAAGGAATACTGAAAATCTCAATTGAATTTCAGGGCTGGCTCTAAGCCAAAAACCTTCAAAATGATCGTACGAAGGTGAAATTAGGCTCAAACGAAAGAGAAAAACCGTGCCATCATCATAAAGCAGCTACTGATTTAAACTGATTGAACACAAAATTTTCTTGGTTCAAAACTCTATTCAAGTGTTGAATTACTGAGAAATTATTCAAAAAACCGTCAAGTTTTTCAAAAAAAATTATTTGAGTGCTAAATCCTAGCAAAAAACTAGAATAGCATTAGAGAAATGACAGTTTAAAAACTTCCCAAGATTGATAGTTATTTGCTGAAATGCTGAAATTTAGGCGAAAGACTAGAAAATCAATTGCGAAACGACAGTTTATAAAATTCTCAAAAATAAAAGTTTGTTTGTGTGCGGAATTCTGGGCAGAAGACTAGAATATCAAGAAATGAAAAATCAAGAACTTCACTAATGATATTGCTGAGTCTGTCAACGACAGACGATTCTGATGTGCGAAGAAAATCCTGCTAATATGCTGGAAGCAATGACCTCAACCTACGCAAGGAAAGGTTGCAATAACAGTTTGAGGCGAAATTTCCCTTATAAATAGAAGCCCTTTAGGGTGAAAAGCATTTATCGTTACTATCGATATCTCAACTTCCCATGTCTTACGACGATTATTTTTATTCCCACATGCAGCATCTGCTGCAACAATTATTAAGAATTTGTAAATCTTTATTTTCAGGCAATTGTGGTAGTTTTAACTACTGAGTGGCATTTCTTGATGTGTTTTGCTCGAAATTCAGCACTCAAAAAAAAAAACTATTATTTCTGAGAAGTTCTTGTTTTTCATTTCTTGATATTCTAGTCTTTTGCCCAGACTTCCGCACACAAACAAATTTTTTATTTTTGTGAATTTTATAAACTGTCGTTTCGCAATTGATTTTCTAGTCTTTCGCCTAAATTTCAGCATTTAAATAACTATCAATCTTGAGAGTTTTTAAACTGTCATTTCTCGAATGATATTCTAGTCTTTTGCCCGGATTTAGCACTCAAATAAATTTTTTCTGAAACTTGACGGTTTTTTGAATAATTTCTCAGTAATTCAAAACTTGAATAAAGTTTTGAACCAAGAAAATGTTGTGTTCAATCAGTTCAATTCAGTAGCTGCTTTATGATGATGGCACGGTTTTGCTCTTTCGTTTGAGCCTAATTTCACCTTCGTACGATCACTTTGAAGGTTTTTGGCTTAGAGCCAGCCCTGAAATTCAATTGAGATTTTCAGCATTCCTTGGCTAGGTTCCAAACAGGCTCTCAAGGGGCGGGTTTAGCTTGTTGCTATGTTCTAGTGAGTAATCGGAGTCAGCGAGCATGACTGTAACCTGCAGGCACTCCCCGAATCGAGCTAATTAGGCTCGGGTTCCTAAGTTCCGTCCCCCATTAGATTCGGGTTCCTAAGTTCCGTCCCCCCTCGCAGCATCCCTGTCCTTTTCCTGTCCTGTCTTGTCCTACTGTCAAGGTGGAAAGGCTCCAAAAACACGCCCACGGTGGCGTAATTGCACTAGTTGGGGCAGTCGTCGACGAATATCCTGGGTGTATGACTTTATGAACGATAGCATGTGCCAGCCGCCAGCTGGGTACTGTACGCGGTGCGCTGATCGCTCCCCCCCTTGTTAATTAACCTAGGAATGCGCTCAGCCATTGGAAAACTCTCTAATATTTCCTTCATGCTTCTTCTGTAGGTTGCAATTTGGATAACAGTAAATTTCAAAACTTTAATTAAAAATCAGTTTTCAGGTTTTTTTTCATTATAAATTGGTTCGCAAGCTCTTTTCTTTTATCGCAAAGGTAAGTTTTGAAACACTAACCATAGCTAAAAACAAATTTCATTGCGAGGAGAATTCAAAATAAGCACTATAGGCAATTTGGTTTAAACTAATTTCAATAAGTTGTGTATATCATTACATTTGGTAGTGTTTCGTACGATCAGATATCACTCGTTCTGCAAATATCCGGTCATATCACACAAATTTTTTTAGATTTCAATTCTTTTGTTTGCTTTCAAAAACTGCTACCCTCAGTATAAATTGATCTGTACCTCAATCGAAATTACGTGTGAACTAGTCGTAAGATGTGAGGTCACTCAGACAATCATGCCTAAGGTGTTCTAGATTGATTTCACACTTCAAGTTGGATATCCAGGAGTCACTCGGTCATTCATAGGTAAATCAGCAAAACTCTTGAATTTCATGATCAAATCATTAGCTGTTCATGACTGACAAAAAAAAAAGAAACAAGAAAGCAAAACGAAATTCTGTAAATAGTCAAGCCTCACCCCAGCTTGCAACAAGCTCATATCACTATCAGAAGTTGCTTTCACTTGACTAGGGAGCATGGCCATGAACCAGCGCTAGAGCTGTACTGCAAAAAACTCATCCATCTTGCGATAGGCGGGGCTAACGGTGCGCACCTTATTGACACACGCCTGCCTAAGCGCGCGCTATCGTTCATAAAGTCCGCCACGGGTGGCGGACTTTATGAACGATAGCCAATATCCTTTACCTCTTGCTTTGAAAACGGGGCACTTCAGAGTTGATCAGGCGATCATTTATGGAAATGCAATATTTCAAAAAAAAAAAATGCTGAGCAAAACCTTGATGGAAGGAAACCAAGGAATACCTCTGCGTCTTCTTTGACCTTTTCAGCACTCTCTGCTACTGGGGCAATGGATAAATGCTTCTTTTTGCCAAGAGGTGAGGTCTGCCCTTCGACTGGCTCACCTCCATCGTCAGCTATCAGCGAGTCTCCCTGCATCAGTTGTTATAAATGATGCTAAAGCATTTAATAGCTTTGTGAAGTGAACCTCTTCTTGGACTGAACTTCTTGCGGTCACTTCGCTTGCCCCATCCTGGAAACGGAAATTATGTGCCATCTATTCTATGCACCAAGCAGTGTTCTAAAAATGGTACACAAGTAAAAGACTACCTTTTCCTTTTCGGTGATTTTAGCGGTCTTCGAAGCAAAGTTCTTGGGATGCTTCTTGTATCTAGAAGAAAAGCGTGTTTTGCAAACTTGTTGGAACGAGTTTGAAATCGACAGAGACTGATGTTGTACTCCCTTACTTAATGTAACTGGCTTTCTCGCCCTTCTTGTTCCGTTTTGCCTCAACAGAGTCGTCAGAATCTGCGACTGCGTTGGCCTTCAGTTGAATTCGTATAAAGGGTTTTAATGAGAGCAAGGAGCTTACCTCTTCCTCATCATCGGCATAGTCCTCATCGTTTTCTGGGGCTTTCTCCTTCAGCTTTAGGAAATTTTTATATGTGAAAAATTGCGAAGTGTTTGCCCACCTCTGACTCTTGTTCTGATGTAAGTGCTGCGTCAGCAGTGGTACTCGTTGATCCTGCTGATGATGTTCCTTGCGCGTCCTCTTCATCACTTCGCTCTAAAACAAACTGATGAATAGAAATGAAACTTCTCCAAAAAATGAGAGGGTTGAGTGGTGAGCGAAGTGACGAAAAGCCTTCCCGTCTATTAGTTATAGGTATATCTTACTTTTATTTTATATCTTACTTTCAAGTTCCGCTGTGGTGGTATATCCAGTGGCTTCGGTAAAAGGCTCGGAAGATTTGAACTGCTCTCTCCCACTACCTGATGACTCAAGAATCTTTGCCTCAATCTCCCTTATATCCTCATTGGCGAGCTCTTCCCTCGGCATTACTGTTGTGAGTGGTGCATCGTCTAAAGTTTAGTGCTGTGCAGTAAGTTCCTAATGATAAGTATGTGTCTCGCAAAAAGCAGTGGCCGAGATAGACATGGCGGGTGCAAGCAGAGGTGCCACTTTGATGCTCTAACCTTTCTCCAAAGCTGTGTCAGCTTCTTCGGCCCTTTCGGCTGAGGTCATTTCTGCAAACGCAGTTGTGGTTTCTGAAAAAAATGGAACGATAGAAGCATCTGATCGGTTTCTCTACCTCGAGACTGCAGCTTGGTCATGCACCCATTTTGGAAGTACACGACTTTTTCGTTCTCTTCCTTAGCAAAGGAACTGGGCTTTGACAATGCAGATTCAGTGTTTGTGATGCATTCTCCTTCTTCGTAGAAGTACATAGCGGACTGAAAACGATAAACGTGGTCTGGAAATTAGCAATCGTTTTGACGGAAAAATTCACAGATGCTGGACTGTATGGCTTTCTTAAAGCTTCTTTCTTTGGTAGCTTTGCCAGACGAATTTGAATAATGTTTAATCTTATATATAAAGCTGAATGTCTGTTTGTCTGTCTGTATGTCTGTCTGTATGTATGTCTGTACGTATGTTCCGAATAGAAAATTTCATTTCTGAACCGATCCGGACCAAACTTGGCACACATACACTACGGGCCCCGGCGGGTGTCATAGGCCACTTTTCATCATCGATCGATATCGATTTTATCGATTTTTATCGATTTTTTTGCTGAGTTCACCTACGGGGCTGGGAGTTGGCACAGGGGGGTAGTCGAGCATGCTGATCACCCCCAAGGGGGATGATCAGCATGCTTGATTACACCCCTGTGCCAAATTCCAGCCCCCTAGCTCAAATTTTCAAAAAATCGATAAAATCGATAAAAGTAATGGACGATCCTGAAAACTAATATTGTGTTCGTAATCAGCATGCTCGATTACCCCCTGTGCAAAATCCCAGCCTCGCATGTCAAAATTTACAAAAAATCGATAAAATCAATAAAAGTAATCGATAATTCTGAAAACTAATATTGTATTCGGAATCCCCATGCTCACTTCCCCCCTGTGCCAACTCCTAGCCCTGTAGGTGAACTCTGCAAAAAAATCGATAAAAATCGGTAAAATCGACATCGATCGATAACGAAAAGTGGACTGTGACACCCGCCGGGGCCCGAAGTGTATGTGTGCCAAGTTTCGTCCGGATACGGCGGAGCCGGGTAAGCCAGCTAGTTTAGTATATAAATGATTCATTCATTCTCCTTGAGCGCAAATGAGCAAGCAAAGTTGAATCATCTGCATTTGAATGCAATGGCGCTTCAGTTTGAGTTTACTCTATTTCTACTTCTAAATGTACGGTACCCCTCATAATTTGCAAAAAAACGACGCAACTGATTCAGGCTTAGCGAATGTCTAGAGTGTCTGTTGTCGCATTGCCATATCTCGGTCTAGAGTGAAGTTCTGGATCCATGTGCATTCTTAACAGAGCTCGACCTTTGACATTCTGAGTTGCTTATTTGGGCAAGTGCACCATACTATAGATACTCAGTTTTTAGCATTTAATGAATGTAAGTGTAATACGCAGCGCGCTGAGTGTACAGTAGTAACATAACGTGAGCAAAAATGTAAGAAGATTTGTGGTTATTGACTGCCTACCGCGCACATACGGTATTCAGACAGGCAGTTCTACATATAAAAAGATGCGCGGCATCGGTTGAATATGGTGTCCTGCCCTTAGGATTCGTCCACTCTGACCCGATTATGACGATGCCACGCGATTGTCGCAAACTCCATCAACAAACTATGACGATATTCCACAGAGTCCATTGGCCGTGTTCATCAACGAACCCTGAAGAGCGCCCCGAACCTTGAGAGCGCATACTCGTCATTACAATGCTCAATCAATTGCCGTCAATATTTTATAATGTTTCACAATGTTTCAATGTTTCACATACCTTGAGACATTAACGCGTATTCACGAACATACCTCAAGGTAAATTTTAGCAGGTAATGCATGCAAAGGCTCGAGGTTATCAACCTTCCTTGCTAGGGTAAATTTAACCTTGAAACTGAAGGTAGTTGGTCTTACTTTGACGTATGTTCGTGAATGCGGGTTGATGACTCAAGGTATGCTTTACATGCCCTGAGCCATTAATCCCGAATATAGGCAGATTGAGCTATCTTGTGAATACTGGAATATGCCTCTAAAGGTATATTTTACCGGTTTGTTGATGGATATGGCCGCAGATTTATTTATTGACTGAATTTTGACTAGATTCTGTCATTAGTTTATGAAAATGCCACGAACTCATGAAACCACCTTATACCGTCGCAAGCATATATGAGAGACTCTACCGCGCAAAATGAGTACCATGTGGTATTTCTGTAGACAGCATGTCAAATAAACCCTGTGCACCAACTTTCAGCGAAGGAGGTTTTTTTTTTATAATGGACTGCCTATTCCTTCTCATTATGAATCAATATCTTTGTTGATTTTTCAGCAAATGAGCTTCACTACTGGGAGTGTAGGGAGCGAATAGCAACATACAAAAAGTTCTGGTTTTTTGGCAGAACTTTTAGCGCGCTCGAGATTCTATCATTCAGTGAAAAGACTAAACCAAATCGTGCCCCCCCCTCATCCTTGAATTGTGCTCAGACAATCGCAAATGACTTCCAGGGCAAAACTTCTAGAATTTCCGGGGCGTCCATAGTCATTGTGAACTCCTTGGATTCGAGTAGCGTCAGATTCATGAACAAGAAGAGCTTGCACTCCCTCAGAAGAATAGAAGTAGCAGCACTTCAGAAACGATGGTGAGAAGAACACTTAAAGGCACCGTCCACCCAGATTTTCGGCTTCCGTATTTTGATCGTTCCGGGCCTTCTCATGTCCCTGATTCCGAATATGAAGTCGAGAATCCGCGAAAAGCCCGACAATCCATACCGGAGAACCCACAGGTCGGCTTTCCGGAACGGTGATTGGGTGGACGCGCACGGATGGGCGGGGATGGGGAGGGTGGTGCCGTCTGGGAGTCCTCGTGCATCGCTTTCCAGCCACCTGGACAGCCACCTGAGATGGCTGTAAAAAGAAAAAGTCATATATTTCCCTTCCTTCACATAATTTTCTCACATGTTTAACATAATCTTATACTACATCAAAAACCCAACTGAGTTTTTGAATCTCACCAAACCCCCTTTCCCTCGCATAGTTCAGCCCTCCAAATATTTTGGATGGTGGCGGCAAGCCTGCTCTAAGCGAGCAAGGATGCGCGCCGGACACAGCATGCCGCCAATTTGGAGAATACGAACACTTTAGTTTTAATTAGTTTTTTACCTTTAGTTTTTTACGTTCTTAGTTCTTTTTTCGTCTGTTCGATGTTGCTACTGTGTTTTGTTCGATTGCGTTATTCGTTTGATCCATTCATGATCGCGTCATGATGTCGTATTTTTGTGCCGAAATCTACAGGGACTTCGTTTTTGAAAAATTCAAAAAGCCACCTCATGCCGAGCCCTGTATATGGACTGCTACGAAGTAATCGAGAAGTCGGTGCGTGGGCGGTTCCGGAGCGGGAGGCGAAGTTCGGAACATTCGGAATGAATTCTAGGCTTTCTAGAGCGTTTTTCGCTCCGGACTTCACCGAACGCTTAGTTGAGGGGCCTGTGATTGCATGGCCATTATGTTGCAGCACCCCCTTCTTTAACGGGACGCTGACTTTGAGGTCTGCCTTGACCATACTTTTACAGCAACGGCATTGCATTGTGATACACAAAAAAATCAAGAAGAGAAACGAGGCAAAAACAGAATTGAATGTTTTGGGGTGTGCCTCGACACTGCAAGCCCGCGCTGCGTCTGCGCCGTGGGAGTATATGGTCGAAATCAGGCCAAATTGATAGCGTAAATTTGCGCGCTCTCAGCGCTAAGAGTTGCGCTGCATATGCTTAATGTCGCAGAGAGCCAAGGGGTTGGAAAGAGAGAGAGCAGACAACCAAGACGTTGACGCGGCGCAAAGGCACGCCGGTGTAGACGCGCGCATCACTCCAGTTCGAGCCTAATCATTGGGACAGAATGGACTTATTAGAAACTGGTCGAGGTGTATCTTTGCAACAAAGCTCATATCCGAGTATAAAAATAGTGTGACTACAAGGATAATTTCCTTCAAAGGAGACGGAAGCAAATGTTATCATATCACATTCTTGCAATAGCATCTGATAGAACCTGAGCTGCTTCGTCCCCCCCCCCCCCCTTCCCCTCACGTCATTGCGGCGATTATACGTTGGACCGAATCGAATGATTATTCGATTATTCGAATAAGTCATTCGAATGCGAATGATTCGAAAATTCAAATATTCCAAAATCCGAAATTTGGTCGAATATTCGAAAATTTCCATCTTCGAATATTATTCGGGAGTCGAATACTCGAAAATCACAACTTTCATTATTCGATAATCGAATATTCGATGGTCATCAATTCGATTATTTGATGTTCATCGAATATTCGAATATTCGATCAGCATCTAATATCTGAAAATTCGATGTCTTCTGCCATCCTTTAGGTGCAGTTTGTAGAGGTGCCTTCAGTTACATTTACAGAAAAAATGATTAACCCACGGCTTCTTATCGCTGTGGGATTATGGTAGGAACTTCTAGCCCAGAGTCGCTGCGGAATATGCCGTTCGAAGGAAATTTTCCAAAAAAATCTTCAATTTAACCTTATAAAAAAATTCTCGAAGTGCGTGGCTGACGCCTCAGAAAAAATGCCCCCCCCTCCCCGGTCTGAAATTCTGGGTACGCCAGTGACGGTGCAAATTTCATGTTGGAAGTGACTTTGAAAACCCTAATCTAGGAGTTTTAGCTTCTGATCTTCCTTTCTCAGGCACAGTATGGCCCTTAACGTCTCAAAATCCCATGCTCCCCATACTCCGTAATCCTACAGCTGTGAAGAGCGATCGATGAATTGCTGCACACTCTAAGAAGCCAGCCTTAAAGAATGGTGAGGAGAATTAACAATTAAATACTGTTTTTCTTTTAGACACCTTGTATATCAACCCACAACTCGCAAAGTATATGCTTGGATGGTTCTCGTGCAGTAATCTGAATTATGCAGGATGAGCCTTTTCTCATCTCATATAAGACTCTTCTTCTTTCAATTTTCTCGTTGGAAGAGTGCTTTTGCAGAACTCGTCTAACATAGAGCGCCTGCGTCTCTAACGACAGCCTAGCTCTCTAGCGGCTGCATCGACCAATCAGAGGCGCGCGGTAGTTAGGCTGCGAAGGCTAGCGGCGTAGAAGGGCCGTCTGGGATCGTTCAGACAGCGCTGGTACCCCTCCAAGTCCGCCCAAATACGTCCGAACACGCCGAATCCGTCCGAATACGTCCGAATATGTCCAAATACGTCCGAAT